AGTTCTTGATTGTTTTGCAGTTTCATAGTATTAGAAATGGATAATTTGATTGGGATAACATAAAAGATTGGTTCTGCAAGTGTATCTGCACTGTCATAGCCTGGAATCTCCCATTATCTTGGGATCTACTGTTAAAAAATTCCTTTCCCATCATCAGTAAATCAGCTAATGATTTCTTTGCAGCATTCTCCAGCTTCAACTGCTGATGTACGATTCTTGTTCACCATTCAAGGTAGATCTTGAATGGCTACCTGGAAACCTTTAAGACCAACTTTTCATCTTGTATTCAAGGCTTCAATAGCAAGAATAACTTAAGAGATATCTGAATCAAATTTTTTAAAACTTAAATGTTTAGACTGTCACCTGTGACATCAAACATCAAATGTTTTATACTTAAATTTAAATCTTTTTGAAATGAAATGTATACCTTTTCAAATCCTATCATCAGTTAGCACAAAATGTGTCTTTACTGCACATTTTGTGAAACGTCATGTTCTGGTTAAAAAATGCTTGGTGGAAGGTATTGCTGAACTTCTCCAAATATCTTTAAAAATCATCAGAATAATTTCCGTAATGACATTTAATAATATCAACAATAACCGGTTTTAAATATAGTACTCTTCTTACATTATTTTTTATTATATTTGAGTATCCTAGAAAATTTAGAAAGTTTTTTTCTTCAATATTAATTCAGAGTAAATTTTACATTTTGGTTGATTTTAAGGATCTTCCTGTGAAAAGAATGATTCTTAAATTGAACAAAACATAAAATTTATATATATTCATTCTGCAAAATATATATATGAAATGAAAATCAAGATCATGTTTCATGCTTATCAGCCATGATCTGCTTAGCAGCACAGGTACTGTAGTTGGACAGCTCAGAAACAGTTTTCTCTTCTGATACAAAGAGGAGGTCGGTCTATGAAATTATGCATATAGAGTTTTATGGTCTGAGACACTTACTACAGTACAAAGTCCAAAATCTGAACTCGTTGGAACTTCAGCAATTTCGTATTTGGGATTTTTCCAGATAATAGATCATCAATTTAAATCTGGTAAGATGGCATGTAGAAATTATACAATTAAAAATATGAAATCATAATTTATGAAATAAAGAACAATTATCTAAAGGGTATCAAAATTTACAAAAAAAGCTTAATATTTATTTCTTTGCTTTATTAAACATTTCTTTCAATGTAAGTTGTTTAAGTTGCTTCCATAAAAAATTAAAAAAGTTGCTTTTTCTTATGTCATATACAGTTGACTTTCCAATGCCATGCTCCTTGCATAATTTTGAGACAGATATGCCTTTATCCATTTTTTGCACAAATTCCACTTTTTGTTTAATAGACATTGAAACATGGTTTCGCTTTGTAGATCCTTTGGCAGCTGCAGAACTAGAAACTCTTTTCGATATAATCAAAAGTTCAAGGTTAATTTTTATAAAATTGCTGTAATAATAACAGTCTGCAAAAAATAATAAGCTGGTTCAAATTAGAAGATTAAGGAGCAGCTGCATTAACTGAAATGCCTTAGAATCAGTTAATATACGTTTAGCATGTGGGGATGATGTGTTGACACAGCCTATGCATGTTAAGATCCTTATTCAGTATCCACTGACATGTGGCCTCTGATAGCTCAACTGATTCTGCTATTTGGTAAATTGTTTGCTGCCTGTTTGCACGTACAGCCGCAGACACCTTTTTGATGTTCTCGTTGGTGCATGAAGACGTGAGACGGCCACAGCATTTGTCGTCTTTGGCACTTTCCCTGCCTTCTGTGAAACGATGATACCACTCAGAAACTTGTATTCTCAATAATGTTTCACTTCAGTACACATTTCAAAAGTCTCCATAGCACTCTTTCCCAAGTGAACGCAAAATTTGATATTGATTCTCTGCTCAACTGATGCCATTTCTTTCTATCACCGGTAAACTAAATGCACCTGCCTATAAAAAAACGCTGTTGCTGCGAGCTTTCAACCACGTGATTTTTGACAAACCACTTTTAGAAAAGGGTGAGAACGTAGTGTTTTGTATTAGCTGAGAAATGCTTGGCGCCAGAGCGGAATGTTGGCTGATGTCGCATGCGCCTCCGGAATTGGCACTGAAATGTATTCTCTGAGAAACTTGATTTGTGTGGTACATTGGAAGTTGCGATTCATATGTTACGCTGTAAGGTGGAACCTAGCGCCTGAGTGTCGCTATGGAAAATAAAGGTATTTAAACTGTGTAATGTGTGTGGAGTTATTTTATTATGATATACAGCTATCGACAGGAAATAGAATAAGTCATTTCAAGTTTTGTGGTCCGTCGAGCCGGAGAGTTAACACAAAACTGTCCTCATAGTCACACTACTGCAAAATTTTTTACTCCGGGTCTCAGTCCGGGAACTTTTGAGTCCTACAATATGTATATAAGAATCATTTTCTAAAGAAAGTATGAGATGAAATAATAAGTTACATTTTGTACGGACTTCAGTTATTTTCTTTATTTTGTTTCTGTGAATTTTTTTTATTATATATTTTTTAAAGTTTTTTATTTGTGTGTAGAGCTTATTTTGTAGTTCCATAAATATTAAATAGAATAAGAATTACAAAATAGATATTTTTCCTTTGTGTGTAAGGTATATTTTAATTTTATAACAATTATTTTAAGTTTATGCCTCTCTCCTGTCTCTCCTAGTTTCAGCTTACAACTCCTAACAGACTGAGTTTTTAGAAGCATGTTAAATGCAGATGAGAAGGAGAATAGTATTTAAGTTTGACTAACTTCAAGAGAGAGAGTTAGGATTCCCGCTTAGCGCATGCTTGCCTTTGGACTACGTCTGTCTAAGCTGTTACTATGCTCAGCCATATTATGTCCCTTTTTGAGAGTTCGCTGGCTAATTTAATATTACGGGCCAACTAGTTTAGAATTGTGTTAGCTTTGGCTAAATCTCTTTAGTTAGTCATTAGTTAGTTCTTATTTCTTACATTTTGAGTTTAAGCCTAAGTGGAGGCTTTGCTGTACACCCTGAGAAAGGGGCTGACTGTTAATCTTTATTTGGAGTAAATAAATGGTAATTAAATTCTTGAGTTAATTACCATTTATTTACTTAACGTATCTGACTAAACGTTTCTCTTCTTGGACTTAAGTGATTATTCAATTAGCAGTTCTTTAGGTTCCTCGACATTACATTTAATAGGATAAAAGTGAGGAATTCTATATGTGTATGCATGAATGTATGTGTAAGTAAAGAAGAGTATGAAAAACACCATGAAGTATTTGAAAAAATTCCGTACTCTGCATAGCCTTATTGTTCTTTACTTCTGAGCCTTATGTTAAAAAAATAATTAGTTTCATTGATTTATTTTAGTTGAAATAGAAATGTAGTAGGTAAAAATGTGAACAAAAAGAATTTTCGCTCTGTAATTTTATTGAAGCAAATGTGTACTGAATTTTCTTTTAAATACATGAAAATATTTTACTTTTTTTAACTGTAATTTTTTTGTTGAATGAAAGAACAAAATTTCCCCTGCTGTATTACATTAAATACATACTTGACATGCAGGGTTGAAACCCAACTGTTGGAGTTTTTCAAGTGTGCAGGAGAGTTGTGGTCCCATTTAATATGCATATGTTGAGTTTAGTGCACTTAAATTTAAAAGAAATTTATTTTTAATTTCATGCTAAGGACGCCTCAGGGGCTCACTTTTGTGAGTACAGGTGTGGCAATCCCAAGGTACCCTAGCCCTTCAGATCATCATCTTGGTGAGACGGGTGTCACCATCCTGGAGCCCCTGTGATCTGTCCTCTTTTCCGTCTCCTATCCTCTGAGCTGAAACTTTTTTCCTTCCATTATTCCTTGTGGTTTTCCTCTTTGGAAGTTGAGGCTCGTCATGAGAGACTCGTACAGTGCGCTGAAAGCATTAGAAGCTTTTTCCGACACTCAGAATGCTATAATAGTGGATGTTCTCGAGATGCATATAAACTTAACGAGTCGTAGATATGAAATCCTGTACTGCTGGGTTCCTGGACATACAGGAATAAAGGAAGATGAGCTGGTAGATATCAGAGCAAAATCTGCTGTTGAACTGTCCAGTCGCCTCATCCCTTTTAGAGATATCTGTTATGTCATCAAAGAAAAGATTAAAAAAAACTAGCAGCAACTTTGGGACGTTCAGCCTCACAACAAGTTGAGAAGTGTAAAGCTGAGCATTGGAATTTTAATAGAAAAATCGGAAGGAGGAAGTTCGTTTGGCTCGCCTCAGGATTGGTCCCACTAAAGTAACACATAAACTACCTTCTGAAAGCTGAGAAAAAGCCTATTTGTTTAAATTGTAATTTTTTCTATCTGTCCGTCATATTTTGAGTGTCTAAGTTTTAATAATTTTTGTCAGAAATATTTTAATAGATGGGACTTACCTCTCGACCGTTTAATCGGAAGACAGGTCAATTGTAATTAATTTTATTACTTAAAAGAGACTGCCTTTTGTTACCTAATTTAATCAGCTTTGAAGATTGTGTATTGTATTTTAATGTTTAACACTTGTGTGCCTTTACCTTGTTTTTATATGACTTCATCCTTTGAATTTGGACATGCTAAGGAACTTCCTAAATCAGACTTTTAAGATTTTGATTTTTTGTTGTTAAAATGCTTGTAAAATTAGGTCTTAATTGACCATTACATTTTAGCAAACATCATAAAATCTTGTCTTTCTTTTAGAGAAAAATCTTGTCTTTCTTTTAGAGAAATATTTAAATGTTAATTATAAACTTTTATTATTTTATTTATTAATTATGATAAGTTATTATTTTATTTATTAATTAGGGTAACTTAAAGGGAGTTTCTGCAGCAGCAACAACAACAGGAAAAAAAAAAAAGAGGGTAACCTAAACAAACAAAAAATATGTTTAAAGCTATGATCAGTAATATTTCTGTTCTTGCACTTAGTCACATTTAAATTACATACTTTAACATTGAAGACTAGATCTGATTATGTCTTTTCCTTTTAGAGAATTTTCCATTAGTTATCTTGCTAGAGATGAAGATGGAAAAGATACATACTTATCCTTATTATCTGACTGGGATTTAGAAGCGGCATTTCTTGGCTCTTCTGATCCATGTTTGCAACTGAAAGTAGATTTAAAACCATTTGAAGAAGGTAAATTTCAAAACTGAATAAATTATAAATTGCATTTTTATGATTTTAAAATATTTTAGTATTTCTGATTTCATTAATGTATGTCTGTATTTAATGCATTAATTATTACAGTCAATCTGTATTTCAAATATTCAAATTTTATTTATGGGTAAATAGGCAAAATCTTATTTCCAATTGTGTTTTTCTTTTCGCATCTTTCGTAAGCTGAATAAATGCTTTACTTGCTTATATATTTAAATAAATAAGTAACTTGTTTGCTTTGCTACAGCAAGAATATTTTAAACCTCTAATTTGCATTGATGCTGAATTCAGGACAGACTACTTTCATTTTTGTCTGATATATTTCATGTCACTTCAGAATACTCATTATTGCTCATTAGTAACATTGTAAATGGTTTACTTTGTTATTCTAATGAAGAATTTAAGAGTATAATTATAATGTTTTAGCTAAGCACTAGTTTTGACCTGTGTATGTGCTCATATTTTGCATAAAGATTTAATTTGTGTTTATGAAACAGAATCATAGTTAAAGTATTACATCCAAACAGTGTTTTTATGTTTGTTACCATGCATATAAAATGGTCCTATATTATGTATTTGGTTTGTTTTTTTTAATTAGGATTAGAAGATTGGGATGTTGTTGCTTCTCTTGATGTTGGTCGTAGCAATAATGCTAGCTTCTTAATAGATCGATCATCCATAACTGGCACAATTTTGAACCATGTAAGTATTATACACCATTTAGAAATAATGTTTTCTATCAGTTTTTAAACTTAAAAAAATTGCATGAAAAAAATGTTACTTTTTGTCTGAATTCCTAATTTTGTGCCTGTTTTAAGAAATCTCTCAACTTTTTCCTATTGTTTAATGACGTTTTTCCATATATCTACGATCAGCATTCATTTTGACTTATTCCAAGTAGAAGAAAAGGTTCACTTTTTGCTAATATTATGTAAAGTTAATGCTTATAAAGATACATTTTGTTTATTTAAGAAGTAGATAAAGTAAATTGAGTAAATACAGGCAACCAAAAGATAATTGAATGTAACAAAGAGCAAAATAAAGCAAAGTGAGTAAATTTATTAATCAAAAGATTATTTAATATAACAGAGCTAAAAGAGGGGGGAAATCATTCTAGCTATTTTTAAACTTCTTATGATTTAATAAATTGCCTCATAAAATTTTCAATATGAAATACATTACTTAGTTTTGCAGTGCATGCAGGTTAGTAATTTTTTAATTTTACCTGTACAGGTTCCATAAACATGATTTTTATAGTATTGACACGTATTCAAAGTTTTGTTACCGCAGCATGTATTTATTTGGCATTTTTTTCCACTTACAGGAAGGGTTGATGCAATTACCAATTCTCTTTTTGTTAGATACAAAGTTTGTGAACTTTGGATGAAATGTACATGTTTCAAAGCTCCTCAGCCATATTCAAAATAAAACCATTTGGTTTGCTGATATTTTTATATTCAGTTGTTTCCCTGTAAATTATCCATGCATTTATCATGGCCAAATCAAGTATATTAAAAAAAACTTGAACTAGCCTACGGCTGAATGAGGACTTCACTGAGTATTTTCAGGCCATCGGGTCCAAAACGTCATCTCCATATTTTTGTAGAACTGTAAAAATTCACAACTTTTGGAACATTTTTTTCATCAGATGCTATTTCTAATGTTGTGCATGTCACTCAGGAGCAGGACTTTTTTTTTCACCCCTCCTTGATAAGACATAAGCGTTATATTGTCGTGCTTAGCAATCTAGAACAGACCTCATCCCTTGTACTTTTGACAGAATTAGATATTTCTCTTGTTGAACAATTTATTGTGCCAATGCCGCTTATCCCTGAATTTCTCGCACGGGTGTTTTCGTGGTTTCCCCATGTGTAACGTGTATACAAACCAGTTTCCCTTAGTAAGCCCTCCACAAAGGCATCCCTCCCCTTGGGCGGATGGCCCTCGAGGCATTGCCGTAATTAAACAACGTAAGCTAACCTTGGATTCCTCATTTTGTTTGCTAATTTCAGCGATTCCATTAAACAAAAAGCTGCATGTTCACCTACTGTTTCTGCAGCTGGTCTTGTTTTGTCTTTTCGCAGGTAGGGAAATCCGTTCAGTAAATATTTTTTGGACTGAACGTCAGTAGCAAGTCAAAATTTAATGACGAATTTGTCCACTGTTTTAGGCATATACTGAATAAGTTGGCATCGGGTCTCCATGGGAAATAATTATTAATCCACTGTTATATTTTCATCCAGTTTATAACATTTTGAGCAGTTTTCTATAAAAAGCATTCCAAATATGTGAAACTAGGGCAAATGAATCAGTTTGCAAACTTTGGGATCTTCATCGAAATGTTTACTTTTCTTTTCTGTTTCGTGAACAGGTTCTCCATCAGACAAATCGAATTCCTTGTTTTAGTAGGAAATCCAGTTCTCGTCGGATAAACTTTATATAGTTTAAATATGAAATTCTTCATCAGGTTCAGTTTCTGAAGCAGAATTATCATCAGAAAGACTTTTAGAAACCTTCACCATCACTTCCTTCGTTAGATATTTTTTACCAATGCTTCTATGTGGCTTGATAAACAGGTCATAACAGCAAAACTATCCAAGTAAAGTAAAGTACATTTGTGTCTACTGAAAAATAAACTTACTAACACGAGCAAAATGTACAGACATATGACACACAAAATTTCTAAAAGGTGATTGTATTCCCTCCTCCTTCCCTCCCCCTCACTTCTGTGAAATATGCAGTCTTCCTTAGCAAAAATAGCACCAGTTTATCAATCAGCAAACTGGAAATAGCTAAAAGTGTCATAAAAATATTGAGAAATCTGTTATTTTTCTAGATACTGTCAAAATTACTGATAGTCGTAATTCTAGGTATAAACAGTAATATTGTTGAAAATAATTATTTAATATGAACCCAAAAAAATATAATATTGGTAAATGTTTAGAAAAGGTATCAAAGTTATAAATAAAGAAAAAAACATTGTGTCCAATTAAAATGGAAATATGGTCAAAATGACCATTCCTGTAATTCTAGTGTTAATGTCTGATAACAAGGACCCGTATCAGTGTTTAAAGTCTGCTAATGAACATGCAGTAATAGTAATTTAAGAAGTAATTATTAACCCTTTAACTGCTTAAGACGTGTTTAAACATTTTCGCAGTTTCCTTTAAAAATGCTTAAGACGTGTTTACAAGAATTTCAAATCGCATGAAAAATGCTTAAGACATGTATACACGAAGCCCAAATTTCGCGAAGATTGCTTAAGATGTGTTTAGACGACAGATCTGGTCTTCCTTCCCCTACCTTTCTGCAGGCGACTGTCAGTTGACACAAAGGTCTTAATAGGCTGTGAAGTCTGTTTGAAAAGAACACTTTACGGATGGGACCTGAGAATGAAGAATCATTTGTCAGACAGCAAGTGTGCATTATCTTTCCAACGACTGCAAGCTTGTGAATGAAGATAAATCGTTTTACAAAAGTTTGCCTTGTGGTTATTTATACAAATGAAACAGAATCGCTTGTTGTTATAATACATTACCGAAATTTAGAAGAAACAGGAAAAAAACAATTGTAACGTAAGACGAACTTTTTAATAAATCACATATTATACAATGTATTAAAAGATATTTATTACAATTTCTGATTCGTCAAGAACAGGATAAAATACGAAATGTTGCAAACACCTATCTTGTTTGTTCTCATATTTCAAGTGCGGTTGTTTTTAATGGTATATTTTTCTTTTTTACATTTTAAAATGTTAAAACTGTGCTTTCAGTATGTCTGATTTTTGTATTCGTATATGTGGCTGTATGTTCCTTATAAACGCGAACTGGCGTATAAAAATTTCTTGGATGTTAAAAGGAAGATATTTTACTTGAAAACTTCAATTAAATCGAATAAATTCATATGCTGAAAGAATTTCTAGAGATATTTATTTTAAAATATTTTATTATTAGGATTTTAAATACAAAATAGTTTTAAAATCTAGGGGGGAAGTATGCGTTTTTTGGAAAGAAATCTACCGGTATAAAATTGCATAAATTTAACGGAGTGTAAGTTAAGTAAAAAAGCGGTAAAATCGCTGTAGTTCAGTCTGAGGTTCGAATCCCGTAAACAAGCTGGCTGCATGGGCGTTTTCATGGTTTCCATAAAGTATAACGTGTATACGAGCCAGTGTCTATCAGAAAGTCCTCCACAAAGGCATTCCTCCTCTTAGGCAGATAGCCCTCGAGGCTTTGCCTTAGTCACATAAAACCAAATCAAATTAAAACCAATATAACTGTGTTCGTGATTACTTTTGCAAAGATTTTTGATAAAGATTCAACTAAAGCCCGCAGCGACCTAGTAGAAATTGGCAGTTTGAAGTGAGTTTAAATCCTGGCGAATGGGCTGGCTACCTAGCAGTTTTCGTGGATTTTTGCTGCCTAATAAGCCAATCTCATTTAAAAAGTCTTTCACGAAATCTCCTCTGAGTACTAGTCCTCGCTTGGGATTAGGTTTAGTTTGGTTTGTTAGATTATGATAAAACACGCAAAGGGCGATCTGTCTAAAAAAAGTATGTTTCGTTAAAGACTTTCGAAGAAAAACTATCTTGTATTTGTGTTACATATAGGTAAATTCACGAAAATGCCCATGTGGTGAGCCAGTCACAGGGGTTTTAATCCGGGTCAAACTACAATTATATTAATAGTCCTTGTGTTATCATGAGCTAAATAAAATAAAATACAATCTTGCAAAAGTCGATTTATGCTACTGAAATGGCAATAATTTCATATTATACAGGCCATCATTTTGCATCTATTATGAGATTTTGCTCTTTTCCATTACCTAGTCTAGCCCACAACGGAACACTGCTAGTTCTATCCGGGGTTCGAATCCCGACGAAAGGGCTAACTGCATTGATGCTTTCATGTTTTTCTCATGTGTCATGTGTACACAAACCGGTTTCCCTTAGAAAGTCCTCCACGAAGGCATCCTTCCCCTTATGTAAAATAACCCTCCAGTGCTTTGCCACAATCAAATAAACCAAGTGATTACTACACAACATGCTTAAAATATTTTGTGTTTAAAATTTTTGCGTCAAAGTTGGCTCTTGTTAAATGAAATATGCTGTTCCTTTTTTTTTTTTTTTTTTTTTTTTTTTTTTTTTTTTCCTTTTGCTTTTATAGCAAGGTTCTTATTTTCAGAATGTGAATAAAATATTTTTAATAATGTTCATTCTATTTGGTTTTTTTTTTTTTTTTTTTTTTGTTTTTTTAATGAAGTTAAGCAACAAATTTCTTATGTTTAGAAAAATTATACCATCACCGACATGAGCTGCTGTCAAAAGTGCATTTTCTTACTAGTGCATATATTTGTATAGAGAAAATTGTTTTGCACGTGTTATCCTATAACTGAAAAGATCCTGAGAAATTTCTATAGGGAAATAGTTATTAAATGTAAATAAAAAAATTAAGTTATTAGTGGATTGTATGTGTTTTGAGGTAAGAGTCGAAACACGAGGTATGCAATGAATTTAAAATAAGGATGTATATAATAAGGATTTTGCCGCCAGACATTCCCAGTGAAATTTGCTAAGTTTTTCTATATATAGAATTAATGTATATTTTGTTTAGTATATAAATTCAGTGTTATAATCTCCCCTTTATCGGTGTTATTCTGTGTTATATCGAGATTTAGTTACGTCTGATATAAGCATTTTA